CAAAAGCATTTTACTAGGTTTAGTATATAAAGTGGCAAACAAGCTTTGCGTAAGCTTAAACAAACGTGCCCTTATGGAGGCATAAATAATGGCTCTATATCTGGCTTAACAATGAAGACGGTTAGAATCCACATAAATGAACGCCATTTTCAATAACGAATTGTGCATATAACCTTGTTTTTATCCCTATTTTAGTGTATTTTATTGTATTGTATTTTAGTTCTTTTTAATCGATTTATTGTTTTGTATTTTTATTTTACTTTACAGGGCCCCATTTAAAAACACAAATGTGACATGGGCTCCCTGTCAAAATATTATTATTATATATATATCAGCAATGGTTATCAAGAAAATTCCTTTGGCGTACTTTTTTTATTGAGGGGCAGGGATGGCGCAGTGGTGAGAGAGCCCGACGCTACTTTAACTAAGTTTGAAATTAGCGCTGGTCTTCTTTATACCGCCAGATATAGATAGAAGTTATATGTATACTAATCTACAGACAATAATCAAATATAAATCATAGGTAATTAATATACTCAAGATAAACAAACCTAACTATAATTATTCCCCACCAGGGGACTAACAACACTAACACTAAGTTAGCTAAAACCACAAAATCAACCCGTTTTGTTATATGTTGAGTTATTTCTACAATATAACGAAAAACATATATTTAACGACTGTTATTAGCGTCAATTTTTCTTTTCTGTTCTTGTCTTTACTTTTGCTTTGTCGAACAGTGTTTCACATGTTTAAAGACTGAACAACGATTTTTAAAACACTAATGTGATTATAGGACCTTATAGGTCACATTCTGTGAATTTGCTCATAGAAGAATACAAATCAGAACTTGAGAACGGATAGGTATCACTGTGCGCCGGTCCTCGAGGACTCAATCAACAGTAAAAGAACGGTAACAGTAACACACGTGGAATAATCAGACTGCTTCTCCGCAACAGAATGTACGATTATGTACCCTCCGTTGTTCTAGAATATCTAACTGCTATTTTATCAGGTTTGTGCTCTAGCTGAGTTCTATGATATCTTACTCACACCTACTTAGTAAAATAGCAAGCTTTACATTTTACATTATCTATTGATTTGAACCTAACAAGGCGATTATTTTTTGGAGTTGTTGGAGTTGACGCTTAATTGCGTTGATCACTCATTTATAATCCTTTCTAAAACTTCCAAATCGGCTTAAAATAATGTTTTACCTTTTTAAAAATGTCTTCATTCCTTACTTCCTTTAGTTTCCTTTCTTCCTTAATTCCTTTCATAACTTTTATCTTATTTCAGTAAACATTCACCTAGTTGCCTACTTGATTTTATTACTCAGATCTTTTGTACCTAAATAATACAGGTGATATAAGATTTTTAACCTGACTAAGGTTAATTATCAAGTTTTCATGCGAGCAGGCAACAAAACTAACAACTTAACCCTTGCCTTTGTCTACAGGTCTGTTATAAGACTCTCTACCTTTCCTATTCGTTATCAGCTTGGGCGGGCACGTGGTAGTATGGACTGGATTCATCGTGCTTGTTCACGTCGCAATATGGTACATCCCTCGTCATAATCGCTTCCAGTTTGTCAATCAACTGCGAGAAACTGGGGCGAGTAGTTGGATCTTCCCTCCAGCATTCAGTCATCAATTCATATCTGTTATTATTAGAAGATGAAATCCATGAAATGGCTTTGTTACATTTTAAAAATAATGAAACGACAAGTAAGTGTTATTAACCAATTTGTAATTCAAAAGTCAGAAAAACAGCAACAACAATAAATTAGAAATAGTTAAGATGAATGATCTTCTTATTAGCAGCTTCGCTATAGTGGTGCGGTGCTGTGGAATAGTCTACCCGTCAAACTGCGGCAAGCACAAACTCTCAGAGGCTTCTTTAATAATTCTCAATACTAGTGTAGATACACGGCATTCATGGAAGGCAGGTATATTTTATTTTTATTTAACTATTAGTCTTAATGTATATATGTATAGGTAATAGCATGAGTTGTAGTAGTATTTGGAAATAATACCGCGAGTAATATTTCAAAATTGTCCAAAATGCCCACTTTAGTCCACACGCTAACAATAGAAATGTCCGCCATCTTGTTTTTTTCTTCTTAGAGTCAATTGTTACACTTGCCATATTTTGCTGTGATTATCTACGGTTCTCGCCTTTAGCTCTTGTATCAATTAGGCACAAGCTACTCGCACGTCATCTCAAGCAACGTCGGCAAAGATGATCTTAGAAGAATGATCTTAAATTAAAATCATTTGAAAATAAATATCATCTGCAATGATCTTGTCGTATCGTATGATAATCGTTTCGTTTTGCTCTGTATCTTAATCTTGTCTCGTCTTATTTCATCTCATCACATCGCATCTCATGCATGATCATTTCATTTCATACATTAATGTACACCGCAGGTCAGCTCAAGTGAGGTGAGGTCAGCTCAGCTCAGCTCAGCTCAGCTCAGCTCAGCTCAGCTCAGCTCAGCTCAGCTCAGCTCAGCTCAGCTCAGCTCAGCTCAGCTCAGCTCAGCTCAGCTCAGCTCAGCTCAGCTCAGCTCAGCTCAGCTCAGCTCAGCTCAGCTCATTGCAGCTCGGCTCAGCTCGGTTCGGCTCGGCTCGGGTTAGCTCGGGTTTGCTCGTCGCGGGTTGACTCGGCTCGGCTCGGTAGCTTAAACGTAGCTCGGTGCAGCTCAACGTAGCTAAGTTTTGTAAAACTCAGCTAAGTTTTGTTAGGCAGAAACGGGCGCTATTAACGAATTTAGTTACTCACACTTCATCACAGCACATGTCTGGCTTTTCCATGTGATAACCATTTTTCAGTGCTCTGCATAGTTCTGTATTACTCAATGTGGATAAGGAACACCTCCTGTGTGGAATGGTCGAAAGTAAGAAGTAAACAATGATAATTAGACTTCTCCACGTTTCTTGTAGTTGTATAGTCACGTTAGGAGACAATTCGACTTGTTTGTTTGTTTTCACTTTGTTATTGTTTTGTTTGTTTTAGAATTGAATTGACCAATTTGTCACGTGTTCTAGGCAGCGAGCTCTCAGTAAGCTTCACAAATGATGGGAAAACCAATACTATTTCCGTCACAAGTAAAAAAAAAAAAAAATCATAAGAGAGCCGTGAGTGGTTACAATATATTTATCACAACCAGCGATAAAAGACGTATGAAGAATCGGTTTACGAGCAGACTGATCCAATTAGAAGCTATCTGAACTTGTTAACGTACCCAAGGTGGCCATTTCCCACAGAAGAACTCCATAGGACCAACTGCAAGAAATGCAAGAAAAATATAAAGGCATCAAGAAAGTGCTTCAAAGGCATATTTAATATGTAGAGAAGCTCCTGATGTTTTGGCTATATTTCAATTTTATAGGGTCTATTTATATAGGAATAGTGGTAATTCTCCTAGAAAGAGGATATATTGTTGTTTGTTTGTTTGTTTCTTGCGTTTCTTTAACATGGAAAGGTTGGTAGTCCTCCCAGCCAGGCGGCAGGCCAAGGAATATGTCCATATAATATTTGTTGTAATATTGTTTTTCACCAAAGCACTTGACATTATATGTTGTTAGTGGAAACATGTTGAAACATGTGACTGCATCAACTTGGAAGCTGGAAAATATTTGAGAGTACTCCAGGCTTCAGTGTAACCCTACCTGTGAAATAAGCCATTTTCCGAGTTCCTTTGACCTCTTTTTCAAAACCAGGGGTCTTTTTCAAAACGAGTCTTGGAGTCTTAAGGCCCGATCCAACGGTCACAACATTCCCACAACATTTGTTGTTTGTGACCATGCCCGGTCAAACGGCCACAACATTTCAAGAACAAAAGAAATGTTGTCACAACATTGTTGAATGTTGTGAGGGGTGGTCAAAACTGTCTCAACATCGGCTCACAACAAATGTTGTGAGAATGTTGTGACAAATGTTGTGACCGTTCGGATCGGGCTTTTATTATAGTAGTGTAAATTGTAAATTAACTCTGAAAAGCGCCTTGGGGAGAGAAATAAACATATTGTATCGTATTGTAGTGGTGGACTTTTTACTGGGCCTGGGACTTCATGCAAATCCTTTCATATGAAAATGAGGTTTATATCCATGTCAATCGAGCACATGTTTTATTTGAATGGTTTCAGGCAACTCTGAAATGGCCTCAATTTTGGATGCAAATTGGAGTTACGGTGTTTTAACACTGTTACTGAGATACGAAACACTTGAAATCTCATTTGACACAGAATTTTACTTGGACATGATGGCCAAAGAAAAATAAATAAAACCTAACTTGATACACTGCACGAAAAATTGGATTTACCACAATTGGCTCCGAGCAAATGGGATGCAAAGTTTTAAATAAGGTGCTTGTATTTATGTCATGCAAATGTGGTAATGGCCATTTTTGCATCACATTTACACCCCGCCCTGATGTAAATGCCATGCAAAAGCGGCCACTAGTTACCGCATTTGCATCTCATTTACACCACCTTATTTAAAGATTTGAATCACATTTGCTCGGAGCAATCGTAGTAAATCCAATTTTTCGTCCAGTGATAGTTACATTGAAAGCCTTGCGATCCCAAAAATAAACTCCCACATGAAAATATTTACCCGTTTGAAAGTCAGTATTATAAACGTTTTATTTATTACACAGAAAATCTGCTCACACATCACTTTTGATGGTAAAGACGCTATCATTAATCGATTCTGGGGCCATCCATTTCAGTGGAAGCTTTTTAGTCTTCTTTGCACTGTACACATCTTCGTAGATTTGACGCATCAATCCAAAGTCTGACACTTTGACTCGATTATCACGGCCAACCAGAATATTGCGAGCTGCAAGGTCACGATGAACAAAATCATTCTCGGCGAGGTGATTCTAACGAAAAATATAAAAAATAAACAATAAATAAATACTTTTTATACATGAAAGTCCGTCGAAGTTATGTGCGCAACTTAACCAGTTGCGAGAAGAAAGCTTGAAAAAAATCAGGCTTGAACGTGATTTGAACCCATGATCTCTGCGATACCGGTACCGGTGCAGTGCTCTACCAACTGAGCAATCAAGCCAACTGGGAGCTGGTCATATTGTGAGTTGGTAAGAAACCCGTAGACGATGAATATATGCCAATGAATATATGAAATATCATATGTTTGAACTGTGGGTGAAATATTTAATACATGAAAGACCATATATGTACGTGTACAAGGGGGGAGGGGGTGGTGGATGCTACCCCCCCCCCCCCCTCCCCTTTTGATGGTGTTTGAAAATTTTATTTTGGATGCTTAAACTTTCAGTAGCTGTTCATTCATCTTTCCTGGATATTTGATGTGACAGCTGTTTGTCTGCAGTTTTTGACGTTTCCATGGCAAACACGTAATGCCATGCAGCTTTACCCTTAATTTTCAGATCGAATTCTTCGCTCTAATAACTAAGCGCTTTAGTAAAAATACAATAATGTTTTCAGTTTTCAGTACATTTTAACGTCCCATCATTATTAACGTCATAACCACCAAATAACTATCTTATCTTGTAGTAAGAGCAACTGCTAACTATTTACGGCGGCACGATGCTTTCGATGTGTATTATAAGAACGAAAACCTAAGGTAAGGGCTCCATGAACCCCTCCCCCCTCCCCCTTTGCACGGTAATGGGTATGACTTTGGATGTACGTCCGAGTGTTAAGAGCATTGCCATCATTATTATACATTCAACTCACTATCTCTTTAGTACAGTGAATTTTCGAAATCAGCGCCTTTGAAAGGATCTACGTCATCTACCTACCTACAATAATCACGTCAAGTTCGCGAGAGGATCACGGGTAATAACCTGCAGATCATCATCATCATCATCTTTATTTACTCACGAATATCCTATCACACAATGTTATGGTCTTCCTAAGACTAAAAGTTTTAACTATAGAACTATTAAATTACATGTAAGAATAAAATGCTATAATGATCATAAATGATTATACAATAATCACGTCAAGTTCGCGAGAGGATCATGGGTAATCATGTCAAGTTCGCGCGCTTTACGTTGCTTGCCGCTTAAAAGTAAACAACATCAGTGGCAGAAAAATTATTTTTTTCGTTGAATGTATAATAAAAAAATAATTATTAGATTCGTTTTTTGTGATATCCAGAATAATCAAGGTCTCGGTAAGAGTTATCAGCCTCAGCCTTCGGCTTCGGTTGATAACTCTTACCTCGACCTTGATTATTCTGGATATCACAAAAACCTTATCCAATAATTGTTAATAATCCATCATAATACAATAACTACATACCATTCCCTTTGCAATTTGCCAAGCAAAAGAAAACAGCTGCTGAGTAGTGAAGCTGTCATCTTCTACATTGTTCTCATCAAGATTCTCAGTCGAAACCAACATGTCAGTAGCTTTGCTGTTTTCCTGTGATGTTGATGGCATCACCAACAATTCGATATTTTCTTCTTTAAGAGAACTTTTACTCTCTTCCTGTAAAATAAAAAAATAAATTAGCACAAATTAGAATTAGCATGCAAAATATTTACTTTATTACATGCACTTCTCAAGGGTAAATTGAGGTCTCTGATTGGCTACATGTATTTCTCGGCTGGAGTTTTCAATACGAGCCGTTACCATGGTAGTGGCAGAAAGTCCCCCCCCCCCCCCCCCCCCCATGTATCTCGAAAATGTATTGATGCTATGAAAATGGAACTTATATGGTGTGTAAAGCATCAAAAAATGTTTATTTTAGTGACAGTCACGTGTCAATTATGACGCCATACACGCCATAATGACGTCATATGTTCAAGTTTCACAATCAAATGCTACCCTCTGTTTTGAAAAAATCAAGAAAAATAAAAATATGCTAAAACGGCAAAGATTTTTGAAGGATTTAATCGTGAAAAGCAAAAATTGATGCTGAAAATTAAGCTAAAAAAACACCAAATTTGGGTTAAACGATCTGTATCTCGAAAAGTATTCGTTCTATAAAAATGAAACTAATGTGGTGTATAAAGCATTCAAACATGTTTATTTTAGTGACAATCCCGAATCAATTATAATATCGAATCACGCCAAAATAACGTCACACTTTAAAAAAAATCCGCCATCTTGGATCCGCCGTCTTGGATTTTTAAATTATTCAGAAGAGTCAGAAATTCACCAAATTTGATTTAAAAAAATAAAAAAAACAATAAAAGGATGCAAAAATGTTTTTGTAGAAATTATCATCAACTGAAACATAAGCTGAAAACACCAAATTTGGGTAAAAACTTGGTTGCCATGGAAACATCAAGCCGCGTGATAAAAACATGGACACACCAAAATGCTCCCAGATAACTTTTAGGAAAAGTCATTGAGTTTGGCTACGATTGCTTGAATGCTCTTTAAGTACGATAACAAAAACCGACATGTCTAAATTCCAGTTCGATCTGGAAACAAAAGAAGAGAAAAGCCACTCTGTGGATTTCCACTGAAATTTCCATTTAGTTATTTATTTTATTTATTTTAAAGCCCAAGCAGAATAGCGTAAAAGTTATAACATGGAAACGTGTGTGTATACAATCATTTCTTACTTCAGCATATTTCTCAGAAGACAGGGTCATGTCAAGGAAGACATCTTGGTTATCTTGTGGTGGAGTCGATTCCATCAACAAAGGAGTCCGGACTGTCGGGATCTGATCTTCATCGACATCTTCCTATATTCCAAAAGTGGCATTTTGATATTTTGCACAAAAATTTTTTTTGCTGTTTAGATCATAGTTTCATCAATATTTCTATTAGTTATATCATAATGCAATGTCTTGATTGACTTTACTAATGAATTAGTGGTTGCTACTATTATATAGAGAAAATCCATGAAAGGGATTGGATACATTACTGGTTCAGTAAACATCGTGAATCAAAAGCATATTTTAATGGACTCGCTTATTCTCTAGCCATTCCTTACCTCAGTGATATTTACCGAAGACATTTCTCCGTCATTGTTTGAAGATGATCCTACCATCAGTGAGGCAGGGTCTGTTGATGACGGGTTGTTGTCCTCCAAATCGCTGGCTTCCTGTGTGAGACAAATGATGCAAACGTTCCACGAGATCGTAAGTAATAAAACAAAATTCACAGCATATGGTCGGATCCCAGGCTTAAGTTATATTTTAAAGTAGTCGTGCTAACTTATATAATAATAATAAACGTCTTTACCATAAAAAATATATAATTTATTCCTGCAACTACCTTGTAGTTAGCCTGATTCTCAGACGGTCCGAGTCACTCGCTCAGGCTACCTTAATTGTAGCTTGTTATAAATAACAATAAGTGAAAATACCAAGATATCAATAGGACAGTCAATACTAATGCATGTATAAATTACATGTATATAGTTTATTGCTTCACTCAAGTTGTCATTTTTTTCTCGCAATTAAAAATAAACAGCATGGTAAGATAATTTAATTGTTGTCTATATTCTGCCTGGAGGGGGGGGGGGGGGGGGGGGCGGGGGACGTCAGACAGTGCCCGCGCTGATTTCAAACTTTCGGTTTTTATGCGATTTTCGCTTATTTCAAAATCTTTACTGTCTGTGCATCCTTTCTTCGATTTTTTCAAATCAAATTTGGAGATTTCCTGACATTTCCCAAAAAATTTAAATCCAAGATGGCGGATTTTTTTAACGTATGACGTCATTTTGGCGTGATATGACGTCATAAGATGACACGTGATTGTCACTAAAATAAACTTTTTTGGATGCTTTACACATCATATAAGTTTCATTTATATAGCGTGAATACTTTTGGAGGTACATAGGAAGGGGGGGGGGGGGGGGGGGGGCTTTCTGCCCTTCCCCCCAGGCTCACGAACGAAAAAAAGCCCAGGAAGAATACGGTTAACGCAAGGAACTTACTTGACCAGACTTTTCTGAGGTTTCTCCTCGATCGTACAAATTGTCTTTGTCCTCATAGCATTTCTCTTTCTCTTTTCCCTCAGCGGTCAAATGCAGATCGATCTACAGTATAATAAACACGTTTTATAGTCAGTCTAGTGCAGTCCCTCGACGGCTCTTCTCGCTTGTTTTACTTCCGGTAGCGAGTATGTTTCATACATTTCTGTGTTTACGCCAGAATATCTATTCCGCACACAAATAAAGAAAATTACCCTAATTCCAAAAATAAAGTACAATATCTCAAAATATTTATACACGTACTTGAATTTCTATACAACGGACGCTCAAAGCATCGGTAGTGCAGTGTATATACATGTAGATCTACTGGGCGCATGCAATTTTACGTCGACCCATTTCTCCGCGCCACGCCACCGAAAGACAGACGAGTGGTAGATGGCCTGGACTATAGTCAACTAAGCATAAGAACAGTTATATCGCAGACGACGTCCTTTAAGATTGAGAAGAACTTTTGAAACTAGGCCTTAATATTTTATTCAAAACTTTTCGTAAATTTTCGTAAATCCCCTAATTAAATCGAGTTTAAAATTACTTAAAATGTCCCTTTATATCCTACCGATCTTCTCCTCTGTCGTAACCACTGCAACAGATCGCCAAACGGAACGTACTCTATCACCAGGAACTTGTGCTCCTGCAGTGTGCAACATCCAACCAAGGATACGATATTCGGGTGTGAACCCAACAACTTTATCTGTGCTATCTCAAACAAAAACTCTTCTCTTTGTTCTTCACTTGGATCATCTGACAATATAAGTAAATGATGGAAAAACGTTGGCACATTGGTCACTTATAGACATTGCAACAAGTTGCTTCAACAGTCGCTGAACGACAGTCTACATCTCCTATGGGAACGTGTAATCACGTTAAATTTTGACCATCAATCATGCAAACCACAAAAATCATTGACCAAGAAAATGTACCTTGCAATTCTTTAACGGCAACCACCTTGTTGGCCTTGCTCGGCTCCAGGCCCTTTCTGGTGTCAAACACTTCTATTCCCTGTCGCTTCTTCAGAGTTGCTTTGTAAACCACACCAAACGCTCCTCGCCCCAGCTCTTCCTCGTATTCTATTTGATCTGGAAGAAGTTCCCATTTGTCAAACGGAATAATTTTGCGTCGTGATCTAG